CCTCTCCACCACGCTGCCTGCAATGGCCACATCCATTGCGTCTCTTTTTTGATCAACTTTGGGGCCAACATCTTTGCTTTGGATAATGACCTCCGCACTCCCCTGGAAGCAGCTGCCAGCAGGGACCGCAAGGAGTGTGTCCAGATCCTGGACAAAGCTGCCACCACGCAGAGCATGCTGAATCCAAAGAAGGTTGCTAAACAAAAAGCACAGGCCCAGAGGAACGTTGAGAAACAAATCAAGGAATGTGAGAAGCGCCAAGAGAAACACCAGCATGAAATGAACAGGAATTATATCAAAGAAAAGCTTGGCACGGTGAATTCCTCCAGAGGAACACACTCCAGAGTAAAGTTGCCCGGTCTGTTTGCTTCCAATACCACAAATACTTTAACCAAAAACCTGAAAGATACCTTGAAACTGAGGGCCAAAAAGGCAGCTGAGAGCACAAGCAGGCAGGGAACACAAAGAAGTGACGGAGAGGATGGTACAGGTAGGAGAAATGTGATGCATGTGTTCGATGAGAAGGAGGAGGAGGATGAATTACTCAGTGACCTCGAAGAGAAAAGCTCTGACAGTCAGCTCTCCATTTTCCAGCGGCCAGGTCTTGGCAAGATTGTGTTTGGAAGGAATTTGGCTGCAGATGTAAATCCTGAAGGAACTCTGTCTTCTGAGAAAGAAGGTCTAAGCTTTAAAATATCCAGGGAGCTCTTTCAGTATGAAAACGCTGAGAATGGCAGGGAAGATGATGCTGAAAATGGTGATGATAACCCTTGGAATGAGGAAGAAGTCATTTGGGACGATGAGGAAACAGAGAACACACCCCTTGAGGTATTTCTGGCATCACAGACGCTGGATGAGTTTCTTCCAGTCTTCATGAGGGAAAAAATTGATTTAGATGCCCTGATGCTATGTTCTGATGAAGATCTACAGAGCATTCAGATGGAGCTTGGGCCGAGAAAGAAAGTCCTGAATGCTGTGAAGAAAAGAAAACAGGCACTAGAGAACCCTGGAAAAACAGTAGATACTTGCTTATAAAATATCATACCTGTTGCTGTAACCTGCACACCAATTCAGTACCTT